TATATTCCTCTCTACGAAGGAGGGTGAATCTCATCTTGTCTAAGATAATCTTCGAGCACTTCAAATGGAATGTGCAAAGTGAATGTCGATTGTGGTTGTAGATTTTGTCCAGGTTTTCAGCCTGAAATACAGCCTTAGGAAAATCACCCAGAAGCCAGTGCTGGCCACACCACTTCTCGAGCTCTGATTTTATTAGACATGTGATCACAATCTGCAAACAAAAGACCTTTCCCTACATAATGTTCTGCCATATCACCAACCTCTGTGCTGGCCTTGATGTTCTTGTGCAAGAAGTAGCAGCCAAAGAAATGCTGAAGGCCAAAGTTCTGAATGATCCTTGGGCATGTGGTGTCTTGGGCAGCGCAGTCCTAGGATGACTGTGCCCAGGAATTTGGAGGCCGTTGCCTTACAGGAGGACTGTCTCCTCAGAAAGCCACGGAGACTTTGTTTCTTCTGCCCTACTTCCGGCACCCTGGAACTCACCAGTTTAATTTTTGCAACGTGGATAGACTGAGAATTTTCCAGATCTCTGAAAATGAACTTGGGAGGATCCAAGTTGCACCTTCGATTTTTTTTAAGAACAAAAATGTAGTATTTTACTACATAGAACTTTTATTACAAAATTATTTAAAATTTTAATTTTTAGATTTTAGATTCATGCACAAGAAAATTTGAAAGAAATAAACTGTTTTGAATATTCCTTAACTGTTTTCCTGTTCAGGCTCATTTAGAAGTAGAAATCTTAGAAATCTTTTCTGCTAAAATATACAAATTTGACACCCCCAAATTATACCTTTACAAAATATAACACAATTCAGCTGGGTTTTGACACTTTATAAAGATCACCTCTCCTCTGATTTTCAATGACCAGACCCTTATTTCTACCTGAAACATCTCCAGGAAGGCTTTTAACAACCAAATTTCTACCAACATTTTTTGTGTGATTATGTATTGTCCTAGAATTTGGAAGATTTCTCTTCAGCTTTTCTTTTTCTGAATCTTTAGTAGAACCATCTTTATTTTTAATTTTTTTTTCACCCAACATGTATTAAAAAATTTTTTTTTGTTGCCTCCACCAAACCACCTGTGCCCACACCCCATCTGCAGGGGAAGGGATGGAGCCAGAGGCAGGTAGAATTATCTTTAGTATCTATGTTTCTTCTAACAATTATACAAGCTTGCCTAGCATTCAACTCAAAACTGTCCCACATATTTGGTCAAGTAGTGTCTAGGGTGTGTGTGTGCAGGTAATTTGGGATGAGACCTGCCTGCTGTGAGTGACTCATCGGCCCATGTGAAGGACTGCAGAGAACAAGAGGTTAGTCCTCCTGAGAATAAGGGAGTGGCACTGCCTCCTTGTGGGTCTCAAGCCTGCCAGTCTCTGGACTGATCTTACACCCTCAGTCTCCTGCTCCTCAGGCCTTTGGACTTGAACTGGGACTACATCATGGGCTCTCCTGAGTTTTGAGGGTGAGGCCTGGAGTGTGGGTTCCTATCAACTGTGCATGGCACCTTCCTCAGGTGGCTGGAGCTATAATTGCTGGTTGTCTCATTTTGATCAATAATAAAGCAAATATTTTCACTTGGTGTCCTATTGTGTCTGCATGGCAACCCTGAATGGGAGGAGACTATACTATTTTTCTAGGGTTTCCATAACAAAGTGCCACAGACTGGGGGTGTCGAACAAAAGAAATTAATCTGAGATCTACTGGGAGTGCCAAGTTACCTACTGCTGTGTAACAAATTACCACAAAGGTGGGAACTTGCAACAACACAGTGGCTCAAACTTCTTGTGGGTCAGGAGCTGTGGGTAGGCACCATGACCTGGTTTCCCTGAGTCCTCTGCTTCAGTCTCTGTCAGGACTGAAACCAAGATGTCGGCCAGGCTGTGGAAAAAGATGAAAAAGTGACCCTGGGACAAAAATGAATGGACTTCAAGAAGTTTCGTGAAGTGAAGTAAGTCACAAAACGAAAGATATCAGAAGGTTTTGCTCACTTGTGGAACATAAATAACAACAAAAAAAACCACACACGCATGAAATACTGTAGGAATAAATCTTGAATTCAGTAAAAGAATTGAGCGGTTACCAGAGGGAACAAAGAGGAGGGAAGCAGAGAGGTATCAGTATGGGTGGTTGGGTGGAGGCTGACTGGGACACGTGCATATCTGGAAGAGCAAAAATGTGACCCCCAAATTAAAAATGTTGGGGCTGAGTTCTCAGCTGGAGGCTTGGCTGAGAAGGATGTTTCCAAGTTTATCGGTAGAGATAGGTCTGCCTAACATGACTATACACCTGATAGAAGTGTGCACACCAAGAGGGTGGCCAAGAGTCAGCTCACAAGATGAAAAATCATAGAAGAGACGTTCTGTGCCTATGACTATATTCCCCCGGTCAGAAGCAAGCCACAGATCCCACTAGCACTGAAGGGAAGGGATACTCAAGGGTCTGGATAGTAGGGTGGGGATCCTGTGGGTGTCTGTTAGTTACACTGCTGTCCTCTTTATAAGCGATTGCTGGCCAGAAATATTTTTATCATGAGACTTGGGAATTAGAAATAATTTTATAGCACATCAGTCAGAAAATCTAATTTTAAACTATCTGGCTGTTAGGGGCTAGCCAAATGTGATTTTCTGAGTCTTACATGGGAGTCTGCTGTCCTTTCCTGTCCCTAAGTAAGGGCCTGGCACCTTCTAGTGATTGTCTCAAGGCAGCCTGTGGAGCATACTCTTAGGGTATCCTTTGTTAGGTTTCAAAGTGACTTTGGAATTGAGTGAGAACTTCAAACTTCAGACTAAAATTCCACATAGGCTATTATTATGGAAATTAATGTAATGAAATCTTGTGTCCTGTGACATTTGAATAATTCCTGCAGCCAAAGGATGGCTCTTCCCAGAACTCATCATATTCAGATGACATGTTCAGATATAGCATCTGGGAGAAAATAGACAGATTTTATTTCTAGATTCTGTGATTTCTAGAAGAGCCAAGTCACATTTTGAGGGGGAGAGGAAGAAGAGTGTATCAGCCTTCTTAATCTTATCAGTTTCTTTTACTCCCCCCTCGTCTGAGACTACATGTGTAGGCCAGTAGTTAGGGTCCAAAAGCTCTGGAGACACAGTGCTTGAGTATGAATCCTGGCTCAGCCACCCACTTGCTGTGTAACCTTAGGCAAGTTACCTAACCTCTCTGTGTCTCAGTTTCTTTATCTGTAAACTGGAGTAATATTAGTACCTCTCTAGTAGAGTTTTGTGAGGATTCACTGGGTAAACATGCATGTAAAACTCTCAGAACAGTGACAGGAGCCAACAGGCTTTGCTATTTAGCTTGAGAAAGCTGAAATGACACCAGGAAAAGAAGTTTCTGAGAAATAAAGATGATTGATGGAATTTATGAAATCTGTTTCAAGACCAAACAAAAATTTTCCATTTTTTGTTTAAATTTTGTTCAAATTTCCTACTGTCTTGTTCTGTTTCAGAACAGGGCCCACCTTCCCTGTGGTTTCAGGACTCTGCAGAGGCGTTCCTGACTTCCCCTATATTATTAGCTACCAGCAGTGCCCACTGCCTGAGTGTCTCAGTGAACACATTACTGTTTAGGCTAAACAGCTCTCTGGTTCTGGTGGCTGGGCACTTTCCATTCCTCCATCAGGTAGTGATAGGAGAAGGGGAGAGGGCATGTGGGCTGGGTGGTTCTGAAGGGGCATCGGAGTGAGCGAGACACTCTGAGTGGGAAATGAGGGCTAGAGACCGGGTGGTGGAGGCTTGGAGGAGCCAGAATGGAAAGACAAATTGACTCTGGCATCTGAAATGGAATGGCTGTGAGTTGTTCTTCCATTGTTGTGGCGGCTGGGCTTTTTCTCTTTGGTCACATAGAGTGGCATTTCTTAAATGTTAGCATGCAAAGAAATCACTAGGGGTGTTTGTTAAAAATATACATTCTTGGGTCTGTCTCCAGAGATTCTGATTTTGCGTCAGCATTGTGTGTGTGTGTGTGTGGTACTCCAGGCAATTTTATGGGATATGTAAGAGTTTGACACTCCCAAACCTGAAAGAGTCAGAGGACCCATGATCTAGTTATAAGCAAATGACCAGGGGCTGCTGCTTTTTTTTTTCTTTTTCCCTTCTGGAAGCTATAATTGCCCTGAAATAATATGTCTAAAAAAACCTACCCTTAGAGGGGATGTTGATTTAGGGGAGCTTTGGGGAGCTGGTGGTGATTAGGGCTGGGGGGAGTCTAAGCTCCCAAGCTGCCACTTGACATCCTTGCTCTCTGAGGACACATACTGAGAAACAATATGGAACAGTGTTAAAAGTGGGAAGTGCGTTAGGTAGGTCTCACCGAGGAAGACCAGAAGATGGAGAAAGGTTAAATGGCTCTCCCACAGCTAGTGATACCAGCTCCGAGACTACAACCAAGTATTCTGGTTTTCTACAGAGTTCCCCATTCGCTGTCCACCTGTTTTCTCTGGGGTGGGAGTCTGGGAATGGAAAAGCCTCAGAGGGGGCAATGGTGAAAACTGGAGGGGCCTGGGCCCATCACCCCTGAGGGTAGGGGGACAACAATTTTGCCCTAGTTGTAAATGGAGTCAGAATTAAGTAAGGGATAATTCTGACTTGCAACTTAAATGGCCAAACGATTGTCATGCACATCACTAATAGAGTTACTCTTCTAAGGCAAAATATCCTTTCCAGGCAAAAAATATCCCAAGTGTAACACTTCTCTTTTTTTAATTCCAGGGAGGAGACATCCTCCATCGGAACTGGCATTTCATATTTTCTTCCTAGTAACCGAATCTTCGCTTTAACTCTTGGCTGTCCCGGGCAGCCGCTGGGGCGGGCGTGGGCAGAGGGCCTGGCGGCCGGACTGCGGCAGCGCAGGGCGCGGGGGCTGCGGGCGGTCGGGGATACTGCAGCACCGCGGCCGGGGCGGCCGGCCCGGCCCGCAAGAGGGGGCGCTGTGGGCACCGCCGAGCGTCCTTTTGTCAGCGCACGCCGCCGAGAGCTCTCATTTCCTCCCAGCCTCGTGCGGGAAATGGATTTAATTCTGACGGGAGGGCTGTGAGGAAGGAGCGCGAGCGCAGCCTTTTGTCACGGAGAAGCAGGTCTGTAATTACCGCTGACGCGGAGAAGCCGCAGGGCTGGTGGGATTCCAGGCAGCTCTGACAAGTGCGGGGCCGCAGGATGGGGAGGAGACCTTGCTCGGCAGATTAGCGGGGCGCGTTTGAACAGACCCCAAAAGGAAAATCCGGCGGAACAAAAAAGGCCAACAGACCGCAGTGGGAGCCCAGAGATGGATCAGGTGCTGTGCAGGAGGTAAGCCGGTCTCGGGAACGGGCGCCGCGGGCTCGCCGGGGTTTTGTTTATTTTGATGGAATTTGGGGACCCGCCCGCATCCTTCCTCGACGCAGGAGCTCACTGGTCCAGGGCGCTGTGCTAGGGAGTGCGTGTACGATGCAGCCCTCCCGCTAGCTCTTTTTTTTTTTTTTTTTTGCCGAAAGGTTTTGTTGCTGATGTAACACCGGGGGTTTGGGAGCGGGATGTCCAGCACTGGCCTCCGCCCGGGGACAGTGGGACCTAGCCCGCCCTAAGCGCGCCGCCACACAGGTGGGGCTTTCTTCTCGGTCCCGGCAGGCGGTGGTCAGCCTCCCCGGGCTGCCTCCGCCTCCCCGGCTGCCTCTCCCTCCTCTCGGCGCTCAGCCGCCGCCCTCGGCCCTCCCCGGCGCCGCGCGGGGTGCGGTGGAGGGGCCGGACGCGCGGCTCCCGGGTCTCGCCACCTCCCTTGGCCTCTGGCCGCGCCGCAGCTGTGGGGTGAGCAGGTGAGGCGTGGGAGCGGCCGCCAGCTTTGGAGCAGGGGACCCTGCACATGAGCAGGCCCTGGTGGGTTTGGATTTTTAGGCGAGTCTGAGGGGAAGACCGCCACTCTCCCCGAGGAGCTCTTGCTAGTCTGTTCATCTCTTAGCTTCCATCTTCCCTCCCCTCTGCTCCCCGGTCTCTCCTTTCCGCCTGAACCCCGAATGGAGGTCACCCTCCGTACTGAAGGGAAGTGGGGGCCAGCGTGTGCTTGTTTTGAAATCTCAACCGCAGCCTACCTGGTGTTGGGGGGAGGGACGGTGGGAGGGGCACACTGCTTGCGGATGCTGATCAGGCGCTGAAGTCTAGCCTATTGTCTTGCCTTTTCTCCCCGTCCTTTTCTTCTCTAATCTCCACCCCTTACTGCGAGAGGGAGAGAAGAAAGAGGGGAAGAAAGAGAGAAGAGAGAGAGAGAGGGAGACAGGGAGCGCTTCAGCCCACACATCCTATCAAATCTTTAGAAAATTGTCATTTATCTCTGACACATGAGTATTACCCATCTGTTTCCTTACGCCCACTCGACCCTTCTCTTGCAGTTTGTCAAAATTCAACGGACTCAAATAAGCCTTATAAATAATAGAAATCAAATCTCAGATAATCTTAAATGGGCATTCTGTGCTTTTGGATTAACCCCAGAGGAGCCTAGAGGCACCTGGAGCGCTTGATTGGAGAGGGTGGCTCCACCCCTTTTCCGGCTAGGGTGTGGGTGCAATTGGGACTGCCTGAGATGTTTAACTTGGACAGGGAGGGGTGTCCTTTTTCGTGGGATTTGAAAATTAGGTTTTATTTTAAGGAAAACATAGTTGGTCAACATTTCTGATCAACTAGTTTTAAATGAGTAAGACCAGGGAAGATGAGTGAAGTTTCAGACTTGGAAGTTACTCTTCCCGCAAGTATTCTAAGAGCTGATGTTGGAGATTAAAGAGGGATTTAGAGCACTTAATGTTTTTGTTTTGTGATGTTCTACCTTCATTCTGTAGAGTGACCAGACTCCTCTTAATACCTGTGGGCCAGAATCTTGCCAGGACCCTTCTCTCTCACCCCCATTTTATTTTCCCCTGTGGCAACAGGACATAGTAAAATCAAACTTCATTATTAGTGTGATGTCAATGCATTTTGGAGAAACACTAAAGAGAACTCATTCTTTTCACCAAAATCTCAACCTTTTTTTGTAGCAAGCCCGATGATTCTTCTTGCCCACTGAACTGCTTAACCCTACTCCAAGTGTGCTTGTCACACAATATACAACGCTTCCCGAAAGGACACCCTGCTTGCTCTTCCTAGGCTAGACTGGAATTTGCTTTCAATATTAGTTTATTTCTGGCATGAGAACATTTTGGTTAATCTTAAGAGTTTACAGGTGAGCACATTATATGTTGGCAGAGACTTTAATGTTAAAAATTTAAACATATAAAAACAGACTTTGAGAAATACATATAGGTATCACCAGTCTTAACTCTACAAGGCATTTAAGATGGTTTACAGATTCATTACTATCACCAGGTATGTTAACTTAGAAGTAGATGGGGAAGAAAAAAAACAACAACTAAGAATAAAGACAAAATAGTATTAAGAATGAGACTAATACAAAAACAGAGGCAAAAGACACCCTAAACTTGCTAGGAAGAGAAAACAAACTCAGCTCTAAACTTTTTAGCAGCTCTTATAAAAAGGGAAATTGACTAATTTGTGACTCGGTGTTTTAGTCATTCATTGACTTTCACTCCTTTGTCCATTCAACAAACATTCTGCCAGGACCTACTATGTGCCAGGTTCTGCAAGAGGTGCTGAGAACAATGGGATGAAAAAGAATGTTCTCTGGCCAGATGGCATTTACAGATGAATGCAGGAAACAGATATTCACCAAGAAATTCTTCAAGTGAATAAATAATTGCAAATTGTGATAAAAACTGAGAAGGAAACACAAAACGTTATGTATTCAGAACATAAAAACAAAATAAAAACTTCCTAAGAGAAGCACAAATCTTGCTTCTAAGATCAATAAGCAACAGTTTTCAGGTACAGTTTTAGACCGATGTCTTCTGTTACCTGGAGAGATCTGAGCTCCGGTTGCATGTGGCTGTTTTCATAGTGTCCCTTGCTGTGAGCTCATGGCCTCACATAGGTCTCTCAGGCCCCTGGGGTTCTGAGGATATTTTATTTTTTGAGGGGTCTGTGCGTTCTCTAAAATTGACAGCTTTATTTCAATGATAATCGTAAATCATTATTGTAAAAATATTTAGTAATATAAATCTGTTCTGGATCATACTGGAGCCTGGGTTTACCTCTCTGTCTTCCCATTTGATGGGGATGGGCCTGGCAGCTTGGTCGCAGCAGAGACTGTGAAGGGGGGGATAGTTTAAATAGAGACATATATAGAGAGAGAGGTGAGTCCTCCTAGCGCACAGGCTTGCCAAGCTCAAAAGCACAGCTCCTGGCAGCCACTGCTAACTTGGCAAGGAGTGAAGCTCTCATACCCGCTCCACCTTCATACAGACCAACTTGCAGCAATTTGCTAGCAGTAGAGGTTGTGGAAAAATGCAGTGAAATAGCTGCTGTTGCTGGTTTCAGCAATAATTGAAGTAGGGCTCATCTAATGCAGATTTAGTAAGCTTCCACTGTCCAAAGTACTATGTCTAAAGTAATGAGATGGGCCATTTGTTATAATGGCTAACTGGAACCAGACTGCCTGTCTTTAATTTCACTTTTCTTCTTATTAACTGTGAGACTCCAGGCAAGTTACTCAGTTTCTCTGGTCCTTAGTTTCCTCTACTACTATGAGTCTAAATATGTAGATTAGATTTCATAATAGCGTGGCAAGAACTGGAATTATTACATGTAGAATACTTGCAGCAAGTAGTAAGATCCAGTAAAGGTTCATGATCATGACTGTATTATTGGTCTGACATTAGTATTATTAATATGAAATGGCACTTCATGGAGGTACTCTGGAAGGGCTTGATACAGAATTTAAAATTACGATATATGATTATCTTCAATTAGTGAATGACTTTCTGAGGTCATCAGTTTTGTTTTGCTTCACAAGTCATTAGTATTAGTATTATAGAAATTAAAATTCAGAATACAATTAACAGGTAATACTAGACATGAGACTATTCTGCTAAGTCTAAACTGATGTTTTGGTTTCAACAAACGAACAGTATTATCCATGGCAGTATTCATTTTATTAATTTCACATTTTAAAATTTGATAGTTATTTTATTTGTACTTGGTTTTAGCATTCTGGTGATATATAAGCTGTAATGTTTCAGTGGACATTTGTTATGAGTGTACATATGTTAACATTTTGACAAAAGTGACTTCAATAGCAACATCCCCCCAGACTCACAGGGCATCTTCGGAATGACAAGCTGCAGCAGAGATTTATCCTGGACTGTCCTCCAAGATAAACATTTAAAAGGTTGGCCTGCCTGACTGAAAAAGGCTAGGTCTCAGTGTCAGTCAACATTTGATTGTATTTGATTAACACAAATTTATTGATTACATTCTTTATATCTATTTTTGTAATTTTCTTTGTACCTATGGGATCTGCTAAAGATAACAAGAAGCATGTTAATTTCCCACTGTAATTGTACTTTTGATAGCTTTCCTTTGGATACCTACAGTTATATTTACATATTTACATATATACACAGAATTATGGTTGATGCTCTGTGACGGAGAGTCCTGTTTGTCCAGGACTGATGGTTTTTCTGGGACAGGAACTCTCAGTGCTAAAACCAGGACAGTGCCAGGCAAAAGAAGACACATCTATTTTGGTTTTCGAGAACAGGGGAAGAACAATGGGTCCAGGTTCTTTAAGGATTCTCTGGAAGATAAGATATCGATGGTGCCTTTTGGCATCTATGACTCAACAAGGACCCCTCCTGGGAAGAAGCAGGCGTCTCTCCCAGTTGAGTACTAGAATAATCCTCAGACTCAATGCACCTGGTGGTCTGAAGTGTTGTCAGGGTGGCTGGTGGTGAAGGCATAGCATGATTTAAAGGATTCTAGGACTCTGGCAGCTTCATCTACCTTGAATGGTGACTGTATCCCCAAGTTGGCATGTGCTGAGGGAACTCCTGGTAAAGTAGAGCTTTAACAAAGTCAGTTTTAAAATACAGACCAGTTCTTACTACTCCAACCACAGCTGCAAATAAGGACACATAAATACGTAAAAAAAATGCCATATGGCCCAGATCCCTGGGCAGGATCTGCGGGCCCGGGGGGCTAGGATATGGTTGCCAGAAAACAAATGTCAGTGCTCCATACGGTATCTGCAAGGGGCTTCTGTGGGCAGCCCTGAAGTGGCTGAAAAATATCAAGTAGCAAATCCCCCTGGCTGCTATTAATGGTAGTCGTAAGGGCCATTTGACACCCATGACTGTCCTACACACACACACACACACACACACACACAGACTTGCATTCTCAGTTGTTAGTCATATAAGGCCATATGCAAA